AAAAAAAAAAAAATGATTTCCCCCTATTTTTTTTCTTGTTTTGACTTTTTGGTTATGACAACTTGTACAAGTTCTATATGTAATCAAATCTCAATTAATGCAAGATATGTTAGGTATTTAAAATATGCAGAGGGGTAAAAATGTTCAATTATGACAATCTTGCAACTAATTTAAAAATGTGACATTTTGGTAATTACATGATAGCAAAATGACATCTAGTGTAATTTCCTCATATTATAATTATTTGAAGGCATTATTGCTTGGAGCTGTAACCAGACAATATGGAAGATACTTCACCAGAATTGTGATATCGAAGACATTAAACTCTTAAATTGAATTTCAACTATAATTGTCAAATAGACTTCAAATAGGATTCCCAAAGAGCATTCCAAATATAATTTGGATTACATTCTACTTCTAACAAACTCCACTTGGAATGAATTCCATTGCAATGAAAAAAGCTTCAAAAATTCTCCACTTGTATATAAACTCCACTGCAAGGAATAGATTTAACTCTTCAACATAAAACGCTAAACAAAATTCTCCATCAAATATTTTCAACCGAAAAAATTCTCCACCTCCACAAAATCCAACTAGTGAAAACTCAATAACTGCGAGTATCAATAGAATTCTAAGCATTGTTCAGCAGGATTACCTTGGACACCAAAGTTGCTCATATTGTCTTGACGAACAACAAGAAATCACAAAATGATTTAATCATCAAACGGGATAGAAAGAACTCCTGTAACAGAATTATCAAACCTAACTACTTCAATAGAAGGTTCTGGCTAGAGTCAACACTTCACCCACATTCAAAGTAAAAGAAACTAAATAAGCATCCCCATACCTATGTGAAGGCCTAATATTTCTCTTGGTCTATCTCTACCAATTGAACACGATGACACCACTAGTAATTGTGGCAAAACGGAATTATCCATAACTTCTGAATTTGACTAAAATGTATTCTTCAATGTAGACTCCAAACTAAACTCCGATGGTACTGAACCTAACTCAAAATTCACCTGAGTACCTAAATTTTGATGATTGATGTTCAAAGATTTTGTAAAAACCATGCAAGGCATATAATGGTGACCTTCTTTGCCCTTTCATCATAGCGTGGGCACCTTTAATAACATTCAAGATTCAACCTTCACCGGTGTATTTGTTCTGATAAGATTTCTCTTCAAATTTGGAACATGTCTCACAACATCTAGTGTTCTGACAATCCCATCAAACATTTTAATTCTGACAATTCCAATACCAAATATCCTACAAGGTGTATTATTATCTATTACCAAAACTCTGAAACTATTTCATATGTAGAAAACTAATTTCGATTGGGACACATATGAAAAGAGCAAGCTATATTAAGAATCCATTCCTCATCAAGTTTGGAATTGCCGTAAGAAATAATTAAAAGTTCTCCATAATTATGAAAAATTTCTACAATATCGACTTCACCTGAAATATGTAGTTTCTTTCCCTTCTGATTAGTTGTAGCCAATTTTTTTTTTTATTCTGCAACTTATAACAATCCTTCATCACGTGTCCCTTCTTCTTTCAATATTTAGAAATTTTATTACTGAAGTTAGTCCTCAATTTTCCCATCTCATAACCACCATCAACTAGGCAATCCCATGAGCTACAGATCCAACAAGATACTTCATTTTCTCCATTGAAAGAAAATAGAGCATCATCGACTTCTTCAACAGTGATAGTATCATGATTGTATAAGATTGTATCTCTAAAAGACATATATGATGCATTAGCATGCCAGTTGCTTAGTAATGCTTTTTAGTGATAAAAATGAAAGATAGAATTTACCAACAAAGATAAATCAATTATGGCAGAAAATTTGTAAACGTGGTTCACCTATCATCCATCTCTTTCTTTGTTTCAAGTTTTGAACTTGGTTTTCGCTCTTTCTAGGATTAAATACCATAAACGATCCAGTACATTGAATTTGGCAAAAATGGAAAAGAAAAATCACAAATATTACCAGTACGAATTTCTTGATCTCCCATTCTGATAATTTAGCATGTTCGTTCTTGCTTCCTTCAAAATCGAGCAACACGTCCAAGATGTCTTTGCTCGTTTCTCTACATGCCTTGCGATCTTCTATACGCTCCTGCATATACGTTGAAACAATATCCAGTGTTTTTCCCATATCACGATCCATTTTTTTCCTTAGACCTTACAAGTCAAGTCGTCTAAGCCAAGGGAATAAATCTGAAATATTGGGATATCCACCCTACTTTGTTATTCCCATCATGGAGTTGAAGAATCCTGAGGCCTCTTTTGACTCTGGATCCATCAAATCCCGGGAAAACATCTGGTTTCCTATCATGCTAAATGACGCACAGAAAACAAATAGTGCCACAGTAATTCCATTCTTTCTTCCCTCTGTTGGAATATTGCATCCAACATCAGTTCACACGGTTCAACAGCTCTTCTCCAGCTCATGAGCGCATGCAACTTCTTCCAAATCCTTCTATCACACGGCCAACACATGCTTCATCTAGATTCTTCTTTAATTTGTTATGTAATTAGTTTGTTAGATAGTTTAGCCTATAAATAGATCATTATATTCACAATGTTAATTGAGTTTGATGATTAATAAAATATCCTTCTTCTCAAGTTCCTTTAATGTGATTCATTCTATTTCTGCAAGTTACAGCAGCTTCAATTTCGTTTTCCTTCTTTGATTTTATCATGGTATCAGAGCAAATGCTTCCTTCCGTCTGCAACTCTGTCACTTCATTCTCCTCCGCCATGTGTTTATCAAAATGCTTGCAGAGGCATGGAGATTACATTGTTGGTAAGCAGCAGCAGGGCCCCATTGTGAGTTCGAGCTGGTGGTCCCTTGTGAAAATTGCAAGTAATACAGAACAAGATGATAAAGGGAAGAGTTTGCCAGTTGAAGGTGTAATCCAATCTGGTGCCTTGAATACATTGCCACCCCCGAGGGAGGTTGCTAGACCAGAAATGAAGAAGAGTTTGCTACATATGGAGAACCTTGACGAGGAGGAATGGGTCTATGGATTTTCACCGGCTCATACTAATCTAGTTTTGCTGGAGTTTATTTAGAATTTCTAGTTTCTATTTTATTCATCAATATTGATGAAGTTTTTGTTCAACAAATCCATGGTTTCAGAGCCATGGATGCTCTTTCATTCCGGTTGAATTATGTTGTTGTTTTTTTTCTTCTCTGGAATGCTTTTCTATTGGACGTTATTATGGACCCCATGCATCTCTTCCAATGGCTTCTCTTGCATCTTTTCTCTCCTCTCTACAGTCCAAGATGTTCTATTTTGAGAGAAGATTGTTGGAATATTGCATCCAACATCAGTTCACCGTTCAACATCTCTTCTCTAGCTCACCGGCACATGCGACTTCTTCCGAATCCTTCTATCACACGGCCAACACATGCTTCATCTAGATTCTTCTTTAATTTGTTATGTAGTTAGTTTGTTAGGTAGTTTAGCCTATAAATAGATCAATGTATTCACAATGTTAATTGAGCTTGATGATTAATAAAATATCATTCTTCTCAAGTTCCTTCAACGTGTTTCATCATGTTGAATTCTATCCTTTAATTTCAATTTCTTTCATTCTATTTCTGTAGGTTACAGCAGCTTCAATTTCATTTCTTTCCTTGATTTTATCAAGGTATCAGAGCAAATGCTCCCTTCCGTCTGCAACTCTGTCACTTCATTCTCGTCTGCCATGTGTTTGTCAAAATGGTTGTAGAGGCATGGAGATTACATTGTTCGTAAGCAGCAGCAGGGCCCCGTTGTGAGCTCGAACTGGTGGTCCCCTGTGAAAATTGCAAGTAATACAGAGAAAGATGATAAAGAGAAGAGTTTGCCAGTTGAAGGTGTGATCCAACCTGGTGTCTTGATAACATTGCTACCCCGAGGAAGGTTGCTAGACTAGAAATGAAGAAGAGTTTGGTGCATATGGAGAACCTTGATGAGGAAGAATGGTCTATGGATTTTCACCGGTTGATACTAATCTAGTTTTGCTGGAGTTTATTTATCATTACCAGTTTCTATTTTACTATCAATGTTGATGAAGTTTTTCTTCAGTAAATCCACGGTTTCAGAGCCATGGATGCTCTTTCATTCCGGTTGAATTATGTTGCTGTTTTTTTTCTTCTCTGGAATGCTTTTATGTCGGACATTATTATGGACCCTACGTATCTCTTCCAACGGCTTCTCTTGCATCTTTGCTTTCCTCTCTAGAGTCCAAGATATTCTATCTTGAGAGGAAAGTGTTGGAATATTGCATCCAACATCAGTTTACACCGTTCAACAGCTCTTCTCCAGTTCACCGGCACATGCGGCTTCTTCCAAATCCTTCTATCACACGGCCAACACATGATTCATCTAGATTCTTCTTTAATTTGTTATGTAGTTAGTTTGTTAGGTAGTTTAGCCTATAAATAGATCAATGTATTCACAATGTTAATTGAGCTTGATGATTAAAAAAATATCCTTCTTCTCAGGTTCCTTTAATGTGTTTCATCGTGTTGAATTCTATCCTTTAATTTCAGTTAATTTCATTCTATTTCTGTAGGTTACAGTAGCTTCAATTTCATTTTCCTTCCTTGATTTTATCCATGAGAGCATATTGTCAATGCACTTTCGCCTGACAAAAACTGTTTCATTAATTCTTTTGTTAACAAACATTTCCACGGTACAAATACGTCTCATGAGACGCCAATAGATGCATTATGGAGCCAAGGCCATGGAACCCTTGTGGAAATTAAGTGCTCTCATGGTATCAACAAGTGTGCGGTATATGAATGAAAGATCAAGGTTCTTGAAAAATTCAGCTGCTACATCTACAGATTGTATAAAATGTTGAAAATTGGTTTAGATGATTGAAAATTTGGTTAAGTGTCAAAACAAAAAACTTGGAAAAGTGACTTCTGTCAACTTCGATCTAATATTCGGACTTTTTTGATTAGAATAACTTGTTATACACATCGAGTAGATCGTCGTGGTATATTTGAAATCTCAAAACCAATTTCGAATGAATGAGAAATTATGGTTCAAATTTGGGAAGAAAATAGAGAAAACTGCTGAAGTTTTGCCGTTCGTGTGATGTGGGAGTGTCGCTCCTAGAGACGAAGTCACTGTTTTTATCACTCGAGCGAGACGACAGGCTAGCAACAGTGAATGATGCGACATTTGGCAAGAGTTGCTAAATTTGGAGCGCGACACTTCATTCACAACCCCTCATCCTCTATATACAGGACCCTGAAGGTAATATCTTCCATGGTATCAAGATTTGTCTTTGAAGCAGAAGTGTATTATCGGGCGTGTTGTTTGCATATGGAGTCTCCTCCTGAGGCTATTTCTCCAATTATGATATCTATGGTTCTTGGTGTAGAAGGTTTGTCGTCCGACTTTCTAGTGCCTTAGCTCTGTTTTGATCATATTTGGGTCGTTTATCATGGCTTACATAAGCACCCATAAATTCTCTTTTGATTAGAGCATCGATCTTCTGCTGTAGGGCATAACAATTCTCCGTAGTATGTCTGTGGTTTTGATAAAAGTCACAGTATTTGTTCTTGTCTCGAGTTGCAGGATGAGCCCGCATCCTAGGAGGCCACTGGAACGTCTTAAGATCCTTGATTTCCATTAAAGTGTTAGATCGGAAGTATTAAGGCGGGTATATAATGTTGGTTGCATTTTTTGCTTGGACATTCCCCAAGTGATGTCTTACCAAGGGTTTGACTTATTCTATCTCTTTTGTTCCAGCTTATCTAAGGTCGGACCACCTCTTTTTGGGTTTACGGTCTCTTTCATGTTAATATAATTTAGGAGGAGTATTTGATAAGGACATTTTGAATGCCTCGCACCTTACATCGTATGTTAATGCAGATACATCGGTTGTAATATGTAGGTCAGGTATCTTGAGCCTCTCCTTATTAAAGATTGTCATGAAATTACAACGTGTTTTGTTTGGCCCTTGACACAGCTGTATGAGTGATGCGGATGTCTTCCTAATAGGCTTGCTGCTTGCAAAGAAAGCGTTGAATTTATCAACCAAGTTTGAAAAATAAGATATGGAGTTGGGTTCCAATGTAGAGAAACAATCTATGGCTGCGTTGGTGAGTGTCTGATGAAATGCCTTGCACATTACAGCATCAGGTATGACATGTAAGTTCATGATATAAGTGTATATTATATATTAAGATGATTAATGGGATAGTAATCCATCATATTCCTTTAATCGAGGATATTTGAATCTGTCTGGTAGAGGGTATGATAAGATCTCAGGGGTAAAATGAGTGTCGGGGTGAACCTTGATCTTGCTTGAGCATTTTGGAACATACCGCTGCAATTCCGTCCTGAGTGATTTTAGGTAGTTTAACAGAATCCTTCGTAATTGATCTCAGAGCCGAGGCCATGTGAGGAGCACCTAAGGTTCTGACAACACCGTTTCCAGGAATAGGACGAGAGGCTCGAGCTCGAGCTCAAGCATCTGCCATGAAACCACCATGTGGTTGTAGCGTTGGATGTAGATTTCTTTGAGTCAGCAACTGAGTTACCGTGGAGACTTGCTGGAGGAGCTCCTAAACACTCCAGGAGCAACAATTGCTAGTAGAGGTGCTGGTTTTCCTAATGATACCTCATGTGGACCCGGAGGATCTTCGGCGAGGGTTTGATTAGGAGCGGATGAGCTTGTTGCAAGATGCCTTGGACGTGTGTTAACCATGAATTTTAGTAGCGTTTCCCACAGATGCACCTAAATAATCTCGAACTTGAGGATAAAGAATAAGCACAAACAGAATCCCCTGTATGACTTGAATCTCTTATCCCTGAAGCGAAGGCGTCAAGGTGTGTTCTTGTCACCCCTTCAATGCTTAAGTTAGAGAGAATTTATGTGTAAAGCTGTAAAATGAAAATTATGTTAAAGCGTAACTGAATAATGAACCTTGATTATGTATTTATAGAGTTTGGTAGCTGGATCTTTAAGGATTAAACCACCTGGAATCCTTATCCTTATCACATAAAGTGATTGAGTTATACTAGAATTGCCTCTAGGAGTTTGACTGGGACTATAAGATGTTAAATATTTAGATAATGATGAATATAGAGAATATGAGTTACGGGAGGACTAAAACTTCTAAAAAGCACAAGATAAGGGCATGAAGAGTCACCAATATTATGCCCGACCCTACCAAGACCCGACCAATAGGGGCAACCACTCTTGTGAGGAATTTTGGGTGTATGACAGCTGAGGATAGGAATGGCAAAATGGCTCGTCGGCTCAGGGAGCTTAGGCTTGGCCCTGAAAAAGTCCGAACCGGGCCAGTTCATGGCTCAGTGGGGCCAAGCCCATTTTGGGGCGTCGGCTCTAGTCGGGCCGGTCTGGTCCGTGAGCTTAAAAATAATAAAAAAAACTTGCTTGCCAGTTTTTTTTTCTTTTAATTTTAGTTGTAATTTTTTTTATATGTCAATATTTAGTTATTATTTATAATACGTATAAATTGCAAAAATTTTAAATTCTTTAAAAAATTTTAAATTTTTTGCGAATTTAAAAAATAAAAATCGAGCAGGCTCGACTCTATAAGGCCCAAGGCGAAAGCTCGGGTCGAGACTAAAATTTTTGGTTGAGCAAAAACTCGGCTCAACTCGGGCAAAAAAAAGCTCGAAATATTTTTACTTGAGTCCAGTCCGAGTAAAAAGTTTCGGCTTATGACTCGAATAGGCTCGGCTCGTTGACACCTTTACCTGGGGGTAAGTAGCTTGGGCTATATACGAAAAGATCTCGGCCATTTCTTTTGTGCACTTCAAGAATAAATACATTAAAATTTCCAATTTAAGAAACGTCTTTTCTTTCCTTGAGTTTTTATTTTTAAAAGGTCATTTTGAATGTTTAATGTCGAGTCATTTTGATCCAACGAGATTAAAGGCTAATCATTGTGTATTGCCATTGCTTAATTTCCCACTCGCAACCTTACACCAAGGGATAAGCTCTGGGAAAAATTTATAAATAAGAGGTTAAGTATGACATATTTCAAAACCAAGAAAACAAGGTTTAAAATTTTAAAAATCGGATTTTTTAAAAAATTTTATTTATAAACTAATTAATTAAACATATATTTTATTAATTAAATAAATTAAGGTTACAATTCTATACAATTTGATAACAAATTATAAATTAATTGATCATAAATTATTTCTCGACCAAAATAAAAATTTGTATAGATCACAAATTATGTCACGATCACAAATTTATCAAATTAATGGACAACATATTATTCATGGATCACAAATTATAAATTTTATAAGTCACAACTTATTTTGTGGTCACAAAATATTTAAATAATTAATCACAAATTAATTTTCGATCACAGAGTATCAAATTATTGGTCACAAATTAACAAATTTTTATGTCACAATTTATCTATTTTATTGATCACATATTGTTTATTGGTAACACATTAATCAATTTATTGGTCACAAACAATCAAACAATTTGTGACCACCACCACCTTATCACTGCCAACCATCACATTGTCGTCAAAACCACCACAGCCACATCTCGACTGTAAAAACCGTCCGCAGCCAACATCGCCACCATCCACATCGCAACAGTAAAACCATCTACAACCAAACATCGCCGCCACCACTACCATCATCCAACCACAACCACTGCACCACCACCACCACACCAAACCGGCAACATAACCACCACCATCATCCAAACACAACTAAATAATCAAATTCAAAACTATTACAGCTACCACGACACCACCACAACGACCGCCACATCCGGATCCACAACCATAGCAATCACCATCACCATCTCACCATCACAACACCACCACCTCACCGCCCGCTACCACCTCCACTTCACAATCTGAAATAGAAACAAAAACAAAACAACCCAACACAACACAACCACCAACACCACAACAATACCAAAACCACCACCAGATTTCTCCACTCCAGCAGAGAAGACGCATCTACACAGCGGCTCCGGCCAAGAAGATCAAATCGGAGGAGAACGAAATCACCCTAAAATTCTCCAAACTCTGTCCCCAAATTTCTCTTCTACCGACCACCAAAATACCCCAAAGCCCTCCCCATATTTCTCTGCTATGATGGCAGGTGTACCACCGAACAACGCTGCTTCGAGTTCGCAGCAGTCTCGTCGCTATCGTTTGATACCGTTTCGCCATTGATATAGGGTTTCATCGCACACCGGCGTAGTAGCACTACAGCAATAGCCTCTTCGCATAAAGGTCCGAGTGGGAAGACAAAGAGAGAAGCTGGGAAGAGAGACATTTCTTTGCACACACCGGCCAGTAGAGTGTACAGAGATATTGGGGGGAGAAGAAGATAAAGGGAAATAATTAGGGTTTGGTTATGGTAGAAAATGATAGGTTGAATATGTGAGGTAAATGTTTCATTGTCCATTGTACTTTAGACATCATCATCACTTACATACCGAACTTCATTGAGCTTCCCAATGGCCATTGAACTTAACTTCGTTGCACTAAAATGGCCATTGGATGGATTCCGTCTAATCTTATGTCTACTTGGACGACGAAAATGTGAAGTGGCAGTTAAAATTGTCCACATTTTAAGTTAGTTGTACACGTGAATGCCAAATCACCCAAACAAACCTTAACCCATATAAACATTTAACTCATGAAATCAAAACACCTCAAACCTTTCAACCCGAATCGCAAAGGAAAACTCTAACCCTCAAATCAATTTCGAACTTTTCTGCAAAGTGAACCCAAAATCCATCATACAGAAGCTGAAAACACGAGAACGATAATTAGGGGTGTCCAAAAGTCCCGAACCGAACCGGACCGAACTGAAACCGAACCGAACCGAACCGAACCGAGCGGTTCATCATAAATTAAATACCCGAACGGGTACCCGAATCGAGAACCGATGGGTATGGGTCGGGTCTCGGGTCTAGACCAAGAACCGAAGAACCGAAACTAAATAATTTTTTTATTTTTTATATTGAATTAATTAAATTATTTTATTTTTTTTATACAAATTAGCAAATTAATTAAATAAATCAGATTATTTCATAATTTTAATTTTAAAGCCCAAATCATTTTTAAAACTCATTAGTCCATTTTAATTTGAAGCAAATGAATATACTTTATGTAGTTTTGCTGTAATATTAATATCTACTTTTTGGTATTTGTATACACTGAATTAATCTTATTGGACGGCTAGTTATTTATATATTTTTGAATTGGGTTACGTTAATTTGTAAAAGTTACGAATGAAATGTCATTTGTTGTATTTATGTAGTGTTGCTGTAAATATTAAAAAATTGGGTTAATTTCACAAATGATCACTGAAGTTACGTCAAAATAACAAAACGGTCACTGAAGTTCCAAAATTGCACTAACGGTCACTGAAGTATCACCCGGTTTCAAGAATGGTCACTGAAGGACCAAATGAGTCGCGACTGGGTCTGCTAAAAACCCAGATTCCGGCGCCGTCCGACCAAGACATGGGTCGCGACCACCGGGAATTTAATCCTTTTCACCTGGCGCAGCTTGCCCAGGTATGGGTCTTCGCCAATTTCGCCCTGAGCTCGAGTTATTGGCCATTTTTAGATTTT